ACAAACTTAGCTACAGCACATTATTGCGGCGCGATCTACCTGCTGACTCTCCCTCCGAGGTACTCAGCAACTCGGTGTGCATCCACATACCGACAGTACCGCCGTACATGGTGCCCGCCCAAAAGGTGGCCCTGTTGCAGGAGGTTGGCCGCATGCTCGCCAAGACCGTTCCTAGTTCGAGCAACTGCTGTGATGGGGTATAGGTGCTTACCCGCTTGACCCAGGGGCTTAGTGGCTTAGGCTACTTCTCGAGTGAGGAGGGTGCGCGTCTACGTCGGCGCGTGCCCACCCAAACACGGCACCACCGGCAACTGCTGTTGTTCTATGAAAAAGTTTGCCTTCCTCCTCGTTGCATCGCCCCCTGTGTCGTTCGTTCAAGCAAATCAGTTTACCCTCCCCGGACGGGGGATCTTGTGTGAGATTAGGATTAAGAGCAGGATTCTTGACTTTGAGCACCTGTTCTGGTGGTGAAGTTCTCAAGCCTCTGTTTCTTTGAGCCTGAAGTTCCTACACTAACTCCCAAGCCCTTCAGCCGAGTCAGGCCAAACACTCTTTCGAATCACTTTTATTGCCTTTTTTCCAGGGGGGGCACTTAGGCAGCGTGCTCCCACTTAACGCCAGGCCAGACACACACTTTGAATGGTCACCTTCTTCCAGGCGTCGCACTTAAGCAGCGTGCTCTCCAACCCTCTCTTCTGGCATCCGTCGTGGACGCCCTCGGCAATGGACTGCGCGTTCCCCGTCTGCGACCCATACATCACGGCTATCCTGGACGCGAGAAAAAAGGAGCGCCGTGGCGCGCGCGCGGAGGGGGGGGGGGGGGGGTCGCGTTTGTGTCGAAATTGACTTGTGACTGCTGCAGGTAGTGTTCTTGGGCCCCTTGGCGAGCCGTGGCGCGCGCGCGGGGGGATCGATATTGACTTGTTGCTGTTGCAGGTATTCTTCGGTGCTATTTCCCAGTTGGAATGCGCCAGCTGCAAGGTGGATGCAAAGAGGGAAAACACAAAGCGTTGTGCGAGCTCGCGCGACATCCGATGGCTGTTCCGCGGCCATAAGGTCTGGCACGTTTCAACGGCAAACCTCATGCTCCGGGTAAGTGTTGAGGTCGAGGGGGACGTCAGCCCTACAGCAGTAGGAAACCACCGCTAGAAGTGTCTCGAAATGTCGTGTTTTCAACCAGACGCTACAATCTCGAGAGGAAACGCTTTCCTTTCAGGTGCACTGCCAGCAGCCCCAACGCGGCACCGCACTGCACAGCTAGAGGGCGCTGTTCTGTCTAGTGCGCTCCTCAGAGTCATGTCCTACGACAGTTTGAGCACGGACGGCAACCGCCGATTCTTTTGATTTTGAAAATGTCCGTTTGGAGAACAGGGGAAAAAGCCATCCCTTTAAGATGAGCCCGGACGGAAACGGGCCGCTGGGAGAAGGCCTCCTTATCGGCGGTGTCGGGCCGAGACATCATAAGGATAAGGGTGCGAAATTTCGCGCAGGTTGCCACTATAAGCTGTAGGGCAGGGTTACGTGCGTAGCCCAAGGGATACGGTGTATTGGCTTATTCGCCCCCACATCTTGCAATCGTACACAGCACATGATCGATTCTCTGCTACACACCGGTTCATTCACTCTCCCGTTTTGTACGGTGAGCGAGTGGACATACATGCGGCGCAACCGTTCGAGCGGTACTAAAAGCTAGATTGCTCCACAACCAGGAGGGTGGGTGCGAACACCAACCGATACAAACATACGTCTCGGGGAAAGCTCTCAGAAGTTTCGGAAACAACGCTTTTTCGTTCGTTTTGGTTCCCCTGCTGATTCCGCCGCAAAACGTCCCAGCGTGAACCTTGGCCGCATCCTTGCGATCCTCTGTCGGCCTGGAGAATGTATCCTCGACGGTCTTCTTCCAGACGCGAATGATACCCGACGACGACTCAAGGAGAGGGTTTGCCCGATCTTGACGACGAGGACATCCAATAGGTTATGTTGGGTTGTCTCGCCGTCAAGATCGAGCAAACCCTCTCCTTGAGTCTTCGACTGGTAGCATGCGCGTCTAGGAGAAGACCGTCGACGACACATCCTCCTGGCCGAGAGAGAGATATCGCAAGGATGCGACCGTTCGCACAGGGGTGTTACCGTTTCTAAAATCTTGATTGTCCGAGAAGGAGGGTGAGAACACCAACCAATACATACATACGTCTCCGGAACACTCCCGTTTCCGGAAGAACCCTATTCGTCAGTAGGTGTCCTCCTGGTTGCGCCGCCTTCAAAAGATGATTTTTTTCTTAGACAGAGATGGTTCAGCTGAGTCATATTAGAAAGAAAAAAAAAATGCCCGCGTGCGAACCTTCGCAACCCAAGGGTATCTCTCTCCAAGCCAGGAGGATGTGTCCTCGACGGCCATCTTCTGGACACGCTTCTTCGACGACCAGGCTAAGGAGAGGGGTTCCCCGATCTTGACGGCAAGACACTCCAACTATGCCCTGTTGGGTCATCAAGGATTGGGAATACTCCTTTGCCTGCTTCGTCGAAGAATCGTGTCTGGAAGAGGGAGGAAATGACTCGGAAGCCCCACCTCTACATCCCGTCTTCGCCAAGCACATGTACGGTATTGTCCAGCGCCGACGAGGGTGGAGAGGATGGTCGCCCTGACGACGTTTACGTGACGGTATAACCGGCTCTCGGTAACACGTAAGCGGGAGCAGCAGTAGCAGCGCACGGGGCAACGTGTGTGAGGCCGCCTGCTGCAATTTTCGACGACAGGCCGGATCTCTCCGGCGATATCCGACGGCGGGGAACGAAGGCGGCGGCATTCTTCGACGGTGACACGAGTAGCTATATAGCTCCCGACTGTAGGCGCCGGGTGGAAAGGTTGCCTCGCCCAGCGGTCGTCAACAACGCCGGCCATCATGCTATTGAAGATTGCTGCGGCACTCATTGAACTGCCATTAGAGCCGCAGCAAGAGAGGAATCGAAAGTAACTACATTTACAACCGTGTGACAAGTCGAACCTCGTCGACAATGACCTTGATCGCTGGAGAGGGGCAGCCGTTCGACGCATCGACACTAGACGCGGCGCAATTTACAGGCGGGTGGCATTGTGTTATCTGTTGGTTCATCCACTGAAGAGGGGGCGCCACGAAACCAAACCTGTGATGGCGCAAAAAACTGCTGTGATGGCTGATGTTCGAGCGGGGGGTCTTTTTCCAACAACAGTAGGCCCTCTCGCCAACTTCAATACTCAACCTCCCAGCGCCTCACGGTCTGTAACAACCACTCCACACCCCACATGAGGCACCATCCATACGCACAGCCACGGGCGGATGGCTTTGCTATTGCTGTTGTGTCACCTATTATAGTGCACAGAGATACCCGAAAAACCAAACCCACCAGTGATGCGGTGGTACGGGGTAGCAGGTGAAAAAATCAAACGGCCGCCTTCCATGGCCAGCAGTGCAAAAAAACGGCTGCACTACTCCGGAGCATATGATGTGAAAGAAGCCTCGTGACAGACACGATGTTCCTTTTTTCCGAATGGGAAATTGCAATTGGGAAATTGCACGTTTTTGAATTGGATTTTCGGTTCTTGTAAGAAACCGCCTTAGTAAAGCAACCTCTTTTTGCTTTTAGAAAGAATTCTCACAGCAAGACTACCCGTTCGAGGTAAAACCCAGTCGAAAGGGGTGTGTGGGAAACCGGCGCTAGCGAAGATAAACAATCGAATCGTGGGAAACGGGCATGTAATTACGAAAATAGCCACGATTCCAAGCGGGAAGTCGCCTATTTGAGCAACACCCCCCCTGGCGGTGCGGTCAACCACAAAACAAGGGACCAAGTACGGTCCGCTACCGCTGCAACTGCCCGAAGCACCCGTGCGCTACAGCTTTCGGTACGCCTGGGGTAGCCATTGGCATCCCGTTCATGATCGGCTTCCACACCAGGAGAGCCTACAGACAACACATAGTTTTGGCGTGAAACCCAACATGACTAGCTGGCGTGTGTGTCAACGGGTACAACAAAGAGAAGGGTGGAACAGCATGCGGACGAATAACATACATACAACCGCTGTGGCGCGTTCGGGATGTTTGGTGAAACACCAATAATTATGACACAGCGGTAAGGAGATAAACGGTAGGTTGTATCACAGGTTGACGTCATGACTTCCTGCTCACTTTGAAAGGCGTCATGCTGGCGTGTGTGTCCATGGGTACAGCGACGAGACGAAAACAGGCGCGGTTTAATAAATGGTTGAATGAGCACACGGGGCATAGCGGACGAATCACATGCCGTCCTGGCCCGTGCGGCAAGTTCGTAATACGGCATTCATAAATATGCGAGCGTATTTACAGGGTTGGTTGTAGCAACAGGTTGATATTATGAGTTGCCGCTCACTTGAAAGGCTTCATGCTGACGCCGCCTGTGTCGCTGTTTGCTCCTCGCGGTGTGGCAGCAGCGTCCCTTCGCGGGGGCAGCGAATTCACAGCAGCAGCGGGAACAGCAGTCGCACGTTACGTGCGTGGTGTGTGCCGCGTGAAAAAACACGCCGCTGTTGTTGCTTCCCCGCCTCCCCCTGCCTGAGACAGAGGACAATTACTGACAGTGCCAGCAGCAGAGCGCACGCCTGGAACGTTATGCGGAAAAACGATAGTGGTGAACTACCCGCCTAGACTCCTCGGGCTCTAGCGATAAGGTGTGGGGCGTGGGGCCACCTCTCAGTTGTGGCATTCATCAGGCCAAGGCAGCTGCCCTTGCTTTTGAGAAGAGAAAACCCGGGGTCTCAAAAGTTCTCGAGGCGCGTAGAAGTAGCCTCACCCCTACATTGTCGTAGTCGAATCTGCGGAGGCCCTCGACAGTACCGCGAGTCGGCGCGTGCTGGCTGGCAGTGGCTGAGACCACACACCGTTTGCACGCCTCTCCTGATCGTCGCGTGTGCTTGGCGAGGCGGCGAGGGCTCTCGAAGCGTCCCGGCTTTGCTCCCTGTCTGGCGGCGGAGAAAAGAAGCAGCGATGGGGGCGTATCTGTCACAGCCCAACCTCGCAAAGGATACACAAGATGGTGGGTCGGTCGGTGTTGTGGTTGATTTTGTTGGCGGCGCCGCCGCCGCCGCAGCGGCAGTTGCACACCCCAACAACGACGAAGCCGGCTCGGTCGTGTGTGTTGCCTGCTGGCGTTTGGGAGGGGGGGCGAGCAGAGAGGAGGTCGATAGGCAGTCCCTTGTTGGCTCCGCCTTGGGGCCAACGCGCCCGTTCGATGCTCCTACAGCCTCCACTCGTTATTCCGTCCTGCTGCTGCTGTAATGCTGCTGCTGCTGTAAATGCTGCTGTGTGCAGGTGATGACGGCGAGCTGCGCTGGGGAGCGGCGGGCATGCAAGGATGGCGCACGGGGATGGAGGACAGCCACCTGGCCTGTCTCGACCTCAACGGGAAGGACTCGGCGTCACCAGCAGCAGACCCGGCCAAGAAAATCGCTGCGTTCGCGGTGTTCGATGGTCATGTGAGACGATGACAGCGTGCAGTACGAGTCAACAGCAGCGTACATTTGTTTTGTATCTGCACGACTGCAAGATGAGGTTGGCTCCGTGCGGGTTTTCTCGAGAGAACAAGGTTCTGCCGCTTTCGTGACCTTGTGTGTGTGTGTGTGTGTGGCGTGGCCGGCAGCGGACTAAAAAATGCCACCGACGGGATGCACAACAAGAGCGCCTCTTCGCCAGACGAAACGACTTCACTGGCACGCACCATCATTGTGTTGTGTTTGAAGCAAAATGTCTTTTGGTTGGTTTCCAGCATACAGCAGTAAAGCAGTACACGCCGATCTTGTCAGAAGAGCAGCTGTTGCCGTGTGCCGTGTGCACCTTGCGGTTATACGATGTAGCAGGCACATATCGCGGGCGGGTTTGCCACCCTTCGGAGTCATCACACGGGGTTGCTCACGCAAAGAAAGCAAGAACGGCGTGAGCAATATCTATTTCCGCACCTAGTATCGTCGTGGCCATCGCATCCCTAACATCGGTAATGTACGTATCAACCATGAACAACCCCGATCGCGGGCGGCCTCAAATTGCATTCCGTGTACCTCTGCAAGAGTACAACGTGGCTCCGGCTTCCACAGTTTGTATGCATAGGAGTATGTAGCGGGTATTCTATTGTTGTATTCCGTCGCCGCATTGTCGGCGTTCACCGACGGCTGGGTTTAGGCTGTGTGCGCATATTTTGCTACGGATCATCCACGGTACGTGCAAGCCTGCTCTTGTGCACCGGTTCCAGCACCTGGGCCGCGATGCAGCAGTACCGCACGAATGCATTTGGTTCACGCCCCGTTTGGCGCCAGCCATTTGTTTTTGTTCATAACTGCTGTAAATCAGCGCTCGCACACAGCATTTCTGCGGATTAGGAGCTGGCTCCAAACCCCTCCTGCGGTGCTTGCCTACGATTTTTGATGGAAGAAAGACTTGCAACACGTCATCCATTCTTGGTTAAGTAGATTTTTTGTTTTTTCTTAATATGACACCACGAATCCATCTCTATCATAAAAAAGAGTCTGAGACAGATCAGCAATGAATTCATAGCGCCAGAAAGTACCTGTATGTCTACGGTTTCCCAGACAGCATATAGGGACATCTCCCCTACGGGTAACAGGCTCAACAACAGTTTGGTAGCTAGATTTGAAACTCGATTCATCGACCGGCTGGACTTTTTTTTTTTTTTCTTAATATGACACAACGAATCCATCTCTATCATAAAAAAGAGTCTGAGACAGATTAGCAATGGACTTTTTTGGGCCTTTCGCTGCTTCGCACATTTTTGGTCTAGAACTCTCGTGATATACAACTCGAAAATAGATCTTCACAGATAAAAACACAGGACTGCTAGCCTGTGCCAATACATGACAGGACAGCTGGTGTTGGGCAGGTGGGCTGCCGTTGTGGTCAAGCCGATTTTTATCAACCGGAAACAAGCAGCAAGCGAAAATCAGAGTGTCTTTTTTGTTTTTCAAGGTGATATGCATCAGCATATGCACATAGTGAACGAACAGCGGACAGGCGCGTTCGTCTCTGCCAAGAGCGCCCCCGACCCACGCTTGCTGACAATCTGTACGTTGGCAGTCGGGCACGTTGCAAACCGTTGGTCCTTCTTCTCTTTTTGTGCCAAAAATAAAACGAGAGAGAGGAGAGAAACGACAGGCATGCGCACACCGTGTGCATCAACGGCAACAACAACCTCCAGCCTCCCCGCCCGTGTCGCGTCGGAAGGGCCGCCCTCACCCCCCCAAAAATATCGGGGCAGCCCATTAGCTACGCGGCGAGCCTTGTGGACCTGTGTTTGTTCGTTAGTCCGTCTGTGCTTGCGTGCGACGGCGGGACCAGAGAGAGCGAGAAAGAAAAAGGAGCACGACGAGAGAGGAGGGCAGAGGGGAAAAGAGAGAATGCAGCAGCATGCAGCAACCTCACGTACGCGTTGATGTACATGTAGCACAATAACAATCGTCAGGGCAGTGCCCGAAAGCTTGGGGGCTGGCGGAGGTGGCGGCGTTGTTATGACTGCGTGTGTCTTTGCTGTTGTGACGGCGGTGATGTTTGCTGCAAGGAGACAGGAGAGGGAGATAGAGAGAAAGTCTGTTCGTATCGGAACAACAATACATACTTGGAGCTCTGGAGCCCCACGCATAAATTTTCTCACGGTTCATGCATTTGGCCCAAAACTCCCCTCCGATATTTAACTCGATTCATCCTCTTTTCGGGATCTTCCGCTGGATTCACCCACTTTTTCGAGTTTAAATAGCTCTATTATAGTAATGCATAGTATATATGCATATACTATTATAGAGGCTCCTATGAATTTCTCGTCATTGCACCTGTCATCAGCGTTGTCGCACCAATCTTCGAAAAGCTAGAACGAATTGTTTCTAGTTTTTACCATGGTATATTCCGTACAACCAGTATGGGGGGTTTCGTACCCATCACGGTCATGGCACCGGGAGGTGCTATAATATGATCTCCGAGATCGGACATGATTACAACCAACGATCGCACTTGGTGTGTTTATTCGCACGACTACGGTAGTCTTTGAACGGCAGTGCACTCCGGAGTATAGTGAACTCGCGATATATCGATGTTGCTAAAAAAAAAAAGATTTGTGAACGTGCCGTTTTACGCGGGATCGGAGATCTGAAGTCGAAGAAGCAAAACACCATAGGGCCGGAAACTTGAGACTGCCAGCGACGATTGACAACCGCTTTAAAGAAGCAGAACAGAGCCTGGGAGGTGTGACAGAAACACCAACCTTGGAAGGCTTTTTGACCCCTTCGGTAGGGGGAGCGGCGGTGCCCCAGTGTTGCGAAAAATGCTGGAGTACACGCCTGACTACTGCTGTCTTTGCTCATCCACAAGGGGGAGCAGAGGCGGCCAAGTATTGCGAAAAATTTCAGAAACACATGTCCTGACTACTGCTGTCTATTGTCTTGGACACGTGGTAAAGTATTGCGAAGCGTTTCTGAAACAAGCGCCTGACAACTGCAGTCGATTTCTCTTCGACAGGGGGGAGCGGAGGTGGCCAAGTATTGCTCCGCGCACATCTGTGACGTGGTGAAGGGTACGGAGGCGTTCAAGGAAGGAAACCTTGGCCTGGGCCTTAAGCAGACTTTCCTTAAGATGGACGACATGCTCCGAACCCCCGCTGGACAGGTGAGGCGGTTTCGACTTGGATGTGATTTGAAAAAATTGTTTCAGCTAAGTCTGTTCTCTGTCTCTCTCTCTCTCGGTCTGTCTGTCTGTCTCTACCTCTCTCCTTCCTGCGCCGTAGGTCTCCTTTTCCATTCCTCCCTCATGATCACTCTTTCCTAGACGCGTTGGCTAAGAGGACGATGAAGCATTGCCGATTGGTTTCCCTGTGTTAAACAGAATGGTTCACCCACCCCCCTCCTGGAAACACTCAGGCGGAGCTGCTTGCGCTCAAAAAGGCATCACAGGGGGAGGACAGCGACAGCGACGATGGAGAAGACGGTGAGAAAAAGAAAAAATGTTCCTTTTCGCATCTTGCCGCGAACACCCGGCTTTCTGTCCCCCCCTCCCCCCAAGCGTTAGCGGAGAGGACAAGAAGGGAAAGTGCGCGTTGAAACATAGCACCGAGGAGTTGATTCTGCGTGGCCCCTGATCGGAGGTCTTCAGTTGTAGAGAGGCAAGCAAGGCTGTGATTTGAAGTTAGACCCGGCGGGAGGCAACAAGAGAAACATTTCATGAAGTTGTTTGGTGTACTGTTTGGTACATACGGGTTTGGAGTGAGTGCGAGTGGCGTGGTAAATCGCTCCCCCGTAGAAGCTCACTGAGGAATATATGTAGAATGGTCGCACGGAGCCCCCGCAAGTTGACGCTTACGGAATCAGCGCCCGGGCATATATTGACGATTGACGATAGTCTCACGTCTCACAGCGGTTGTGTGTGTGTGTTTTTGAGAATATACACACAGTGGCAAATTGACTACCCTCACGAGATGATACCACAGCCGTAGCCCAAGGGGATATGTTTCTGCTTCTGTGGTAGCATCGAGGCTGTTTCCGCTTGTTTTTTTTTTTGGGTGTGTTTCCTTCTTTTTGCCTTTTTTTTTTAGTGATGTTCCTTTTTTTTTGCCTTATTTTTAGCGTCTTCCTTTTTGTCGTTTTTTGGGTGTGTTTTCTTCCAGAAGTGGTCGACATGGACATGCTGTCGAAGATCAACCCGGAGGCCCAGATGCAGATCATGGAGCAGATGAAGAGGGCCATGAGGTGAACGCGTAAGCGTAAGCCACTAAGATGCAGGCCCTTCTCCCTGCCCGTTATCCCTACCCTCCGACAAGCTTGGGGAACAGGCAGAACAAGAGCAAAGCTGCACGTTTGTGCCCATACAACACGGATGTATATGCCGCAGGGCTTTTCTTTCTGTTCGCTTGGTGTAGTCGCCACCCGCCTATACCTACGACAGCGCACAGCCGGCCTGTGGTGTTGATTGTTCGCTTTGTTCATCTGTCCGGCAAATGTCACAGCCGCCATCGATCATTGCCGCACCATCACTGCTGCATCCGACAGAGATCAGTTCCAGAGCGCGGGGGATTTGGCTGAGGGCGGCGGCGGCGACGAAGACGAAGACTCCTCTCAACATGACGATGATTCGAAATACAGCTCGGAGGAAGACGAGGAGGAACAGGAGGAGGAGGGGGGGGGGGACAATGGTGAGGAGTCGAAGACGGGGGAGGGTGCTGCTGGTCCTCCAGCAGCAGAAGCAGAAGCAGAAGCAGAGGCACCAGCAACGAAAGCAGCACCGGCGGGCGAGAGTAGCGCCGAGGACAAGCCTGAGGATAAGGAAGACGGGGGGGCGGCGGAGGCGGCGGCGGCGGCAGGGCCATTGCCAAAACCACCGGCAGCGAAGGGGGGGGAGGGGACCAAGGGGGACGCGGAGGAGGCGAACTCCACGGCGGAGGAGTGGGCCGATGGTTCTAGCGGTAAGAACCAAGAGACAGCAGTGATCGACAAGACTGATAGGAGGGGGGGGGGGGGGGGGGCCCAAATCCTGCCAACCCC